TTTGAAAGGGATGGTAGAAGCCACAGAATTGTTTGTTGCTGTGTTTAAAATCTGTTACAAAGTTATAGGAATTTATTCTAATCTAGATGGTGAAGTTGTTTTTAAATGCACTAAGAGGTTTTGGGGTACCTGGGGCTGGCAGAGAGTTTTGGGCTTTGGCGGAGTAACGCCTGGGAATTGTCTTGCAGTCAGTGGAGGGTTTGAGGAATGGGCCTCTGGCCTGCCTCTCAAAAAGCACCACTGGCAGGCCGGGAGAGGGGATGGGGGGGAGGGGGGTGCTGCTCTCTCAGGGAACAGAAAAGTGCAAGGAATCATTGGGAACTCTAGAGACTGGCTTTGGAGGAATCTTTGACCTTTTCTTTCTTTTTAAAGATTTTATTTCTTCATTCATGAGAGACACACAGAGAGGCAGAGACATAGGCAGAGAGAGAAGCAGGCTCCCTGTAGGGAGCCCCCTGTGGGACTCGATCCCAGGATCCTGGGATCATGCCCTGAGCCAAAGGTAGATGCTCAACCACTGAGTCACTCAGGTGCCCTGATCTTTGACCTTTTCTTTAAACTCTTACCTGGTAGTGAGACCATCCTAGAGGACGATGCCATGTTCTGCATCAGTCAGCAAGTAATAGGAGAGCATATCTTTTACATCCTCCCTGCAGAAAGTAGCAGGTATGGGTCTGGCACCTGCCTTCCAGCTTCCCAAGGACAGCAGCACCAGTCTATATTAAATGACTGCTGTAAAATACCAGGTGGTTTGAGGTTTACATGCTAAGTTGTGTGCTTCTCATTATAATTGCTGCCATAGTTGAGGTAAGGAAGGCCATTGTGTGTGTGTGGTGGTTGAAGGGAGGTAGAGTGAGTTTTGTTGGGGTGAACTATAAAGGACTTGGGGAGAGGAGTGTGAAGCTGGGGGATGGCATTCCCAGCTAGAACTTGAAAAATGAGGTGACATGTTCACAGGACTCTGGGATGCCAAGTGGACCCAAGGCTGTTGACAGCAGAGTCGGGGGCCTGGTAGCAGGCAGCCTTGAAAACCAAACAAAATTTGGACATGAAGCGTTAGCTAAAACGGTTTTGTGTAAGCAAGTGGTATTGTTAGTCATGGGATTTAAGGATAGGAGATTCCCCAACTCTGTGAGTGTTGGATGATAGTGGGGTGATAGATTGAAGGTCCTCCAGTGTCTAAACGTTAAGGACACTTCTGAGCCTGTTCTCTTCGCCTCTTTACAGACTCAAGATCTGATCTTAGGGAAGTAACTAGTTATGGTGGAAGTGAAGCAGATGAGGTCACTAGGCTCTTGTCCTTCTCGGCTACCCCAGAAAACTCACTTCATTTTACCTTAATTCATTTTTTCTTTCACACTGAGGTCCTTTGTTATGGCCATATTGAGTAAGAAAAAAAAAAAAGTCTTGTTCAGAGTCACGTTACTTACAGGCCTCTGGACAGTTACAAAGAAAGTCACAGCATAAAACCATAGTGGGAGGGAAGCTTTCAGTGCTTTAGAAATAAGCCAAAAGCAGTCATGCTCATAGAGAGCAGCAAAGGATTCTTCTTGTTGACACATGCCATGCAGATTTGGTAAAGAAGAAGGGACCTTTCTTGGTGAGATGGATCATCGTTAGTATTGGGCAAAAATGTTGATCCATAGGGGTAGCACATGTGTGCCCCTCCCCAAAGAAAGACCCTACACAGAGCTGACTTCTTTACACTGGCCTTAGCTTGTTCTCCATTGCTTTTCTACTTTCCCCATGTAGAGGAAAGCTGTGTCAGTGGTAATTCTGGGACAAGGACTGGTTTGAAAGAAGCAGGTGATTGTAAGTAAGTCAGGAGGACCTTATGTGGAAATAGTCTTTACACCCCTGAGACAACTATGTTGAGTCCACAGAATCCTTGATTGGCTGTGTACTGCCCTAAAACTGGTGCAGTTCCTGAGCCCCTGGGTGAAGGGGCTGGGGGGCCGGCTTGGTGGGAGTGTTATCTAGGAGTGTCCAGAAAGGTGGCTGCTTCTCTCTCCAGCTTTGCTCTTGGGTATGGATATGGAGAATGCTAACAAAGCCCACAGCATTGCCCCTCATCTGTTATTGTATGCCACATGTTTACTTCCAGTTTCTCCTGTTAGATAGCCTTGACCCTGTGGGGTAGATCGCGAAATCTGCGACTGCACAAGAAAAGAGACTCCATTTGTGCTATAGGAGTCACTAGAGAAGATTCTGAACGTGAGTAGGAAGGGGAGGCTTATGTACCTGTGGGATTAAGGGTGAGGCCTCTTATATTTTTGCCATGTAGCCCAGGAATCTCACGCAGCAGACCGAGTGGCACAACATTCTTGTCATTTTACCTGCCTTTCAGGTGAGAAAACTACAGACAGTGATTCCTGCAGGGTGTGTCAGGGTTGGGAGAGTTCACGTGGTTCTCTGGGCCTAGTGGAACCATGATCCCAGGCCTGCCTATCTGCCAGGTCCATTTGGTCGTCTGCTGGGCTCTTCCTTCTGCCACTCCAAGGAGCGGGGGCAGCAGTGGGAATGCGTGAGACTCCCGGGTGTACAAAAAAAGAAATCTTAAGTGATTGCTGATAGGCAGTTGGACATCCCGTCCCGTAGTCTGCGGTGTGTGAGAAGTGCTTTCGCTCTTTCATAATTTTGAGGCCTTTGGAGAAAATGGTGGGAGGCGGCGCATCCCTGGTGCCCTCTGTGCTGCCGGGGGCGGCGGCGATTCCAGGCACTGCTCGGTGGCCTGGCGCCCTGGACCCCTGGCCCCTGCTCGCCTATGGCAGGCCATTGGATAAGGTGTGGAAAGCCCATCTGTGCCAGTGTCGTTGCTCCTGGTTCTTGGGCTGCGCAGGGGTAGACAGGAGGCTGGACCCCGAGGTGAAGGGCACAGGCGAGGGGCCGCCGCTCTGGCTGCAGGGAGACTCCGCCCCGGAGAGCAGCCGGGACAGCAGCCGCACTGGACGGACGGACGGAACCGCAGGGAGGCCCCGCCGCTGCAGGGTTCCCGCTCGGATTCCCACGCGGTTTAGTATGCTAATTAGGGGCGGGGTGGGGAAAAGGGTTCCACCGTGATTGGTTGGAAGGGCCTCACCCTGATTGGTTGAGGCAGGCGATTGGTGCTTCGATTCGCCCCTTGGTGCTTTCTGGAGCGGGTCCTGTGTGTTGGGTGGGGCGTCTTGGTTGTGCTAAGACTAGCGGCTTAACCGGACTCCCCCCGACAGAGAGCGCCCCGGGGACAGGTGTTTTCACTTGGGGCCTGTTCCCGTGGTCCCTGTCTCACCGTGAGGACGAGAATGGCTTCGTGCAGAAGTTCTGAACTAGGTTCTATATCGAATGCATATGTCTACACACACAGACCCTGCACACTCCTTAAATGCCTGTGCACGTGTACATACGTACCCTTGATTAGGCCTCAGTTTCATTAGCAGATTGCTCTCCGCTCTCACATTTCTGAGTCCCGTGACTGGATGGTGTTGCCCAAAGTTGTCGTATGCTTGCACATGCCGTTCCTCGGCCAGATCCACTATGAGAAAACACCGCACTCTTTCACTGAAGTGTGTGGGTCCTCAGCTCCTCCCTCACGCTGATTTGGTGGGGGTGGGACTAAGGGTGCAGAAAGGTCTTTATGTTTGCAGAGTGGCGCCTGTTGCAGTGCATTGTTCTCCCTCCAGCTTTGTGGGGAGTGCCTGGTCCCTGTCCCTGGAGATTCCAATTGTGGAAGTCTGGAGGAAACCTGATCACTGTAAGGTGCGGCCAGCATTGCACCTCCCCCTTCTCTGATTTCCCACCAACATTTCCACTTGCTGAAGTAGAAGCCACGTCAGGATTTGCCTTAGGATCCAGGCCATCCACGATTCCTAATTTTAGTCTGTGATAGATGTGAGCAAACATGCAAATACTACTTTGTGTTTTGAAGTAAAGAAACTGAGGAGGGTGATGAGTAAACCCCATCTATGGCCTAAGAATAACTACTCACTGCTAGCTTTGGCCCTGTGAGAAATGAGTGTGTATGTGTGTGTCTGTGTGTGTGTGTATAAAACCTAGGAGGAGATTTCAAGTTACTTTCAAATTAGTTTGAAGTTATAGCTGAGAAACATTTTTTATTCTAATGGAATTATCATTTGGTCAAGGATTTTAATTTAAAAAAAAAAAGCATGATTCTTCCTCTAGAGTAAACTAAGCTCCTTTTGCAAAAACAAACAAAAACAGACGAACAAACAAACAAACAAAACCCTTACATGTGCTGCCTAAGCAGAGAAGTCTGTGCCAGAGAGCCTGGGTGGGTGCAGCGGTGCGTTCCCATGATGTTGTATGTCCATATCAGTGTTATGGTAGTGGTAACTCATGTTCAGTGCCTGCAGGGTTGAATACTGTGTCACGTTTAATTAGAACAGGAAGCACACTCCAGTTTGTGTGTGAAGCAGATAAACTGGAGCTGAGAGGCCAGTGCTCGGCAGAGAGCCAGAATCCATGACCCTTGCTCATGCGGCCACATGGGACTCGAGAATCCTTGAATGGGGCTTAGTGCTCTGTCCTGGGCTAGGAAAGGCTCTTGCTCACACATGGTCTGGCAATAGGGCCAGCCACTTTCTGTGTCTTTTATGTATGTGGTGACACAACTGCTCTTCCCATTTTACCTTCCTTCTCTGGCCTCCCCACCCCCGTCCTTTCTGTTCTGCCCCTCGACCATCCCGAATTTTGAGGACGCGTCGTGTTCGGTCAAGGGCTTGATTTTTGTTGGTGTTGCTGTTGGCACCCTTGGTACTGGGTTGTGTGAAAGCATCATGACTTCACTCAGTGTGTCTTAAAGGTTGTTATTTTGACCTCTCGGGTCATTTTGGGGGGTGGCTGGACTTGTGATAATTCTGAATGGTAACTTTGGAATTTTATGAATCAAAAAGACAGCTCTGAGTTGAATGTGGGAGAATGCCTCGTGGGCTTTTATGAGTCACACAGGAAGGAGGAAAAGGAGGACTTTATTGGCACTGACATGCACTTTGCTTCTTCCCCAGGTCCTCCTCCTGTGTGTTACAGCCCTGGTAGTCCCACCCCAATTCTAGAAGACCCCAACTACTTTTTCCCAGACTTTCAGCTCTATTCTGGGAGACGTGAAGCATCTGCTTTGACGGTGGAGGCAACTGGTAGTAGCATCAGGGAAAAAGTTGGTAAGTCCTTTTACTGGCATTTGGGTCGGAAAAACAAGATGATCATATGTTTCTGATTTTTAGCCTTTTTGCATAGTTTTTTCTCTATCCTTGTTTTAAAAATCAGCCAGTTGTATTATCAATTGTCTCTTTATTGGTAGGTGCCTTATTTTTAATGTTTGTGCTATGGTGTCAATAGACTATTTTACAATGATACGTGACTCTCTCAATAGACAGAGTTCTTATGTAGGAACTTGAGAGTTGGGATCCCTGGGTGGCGCAGCGGTTTAGCGCCTGCCTTTGGCTCAGGGCATGATCATGGAGACCCGGGATCGAATCCCACGTCCGGCTCCCAGTGCATGGAGCCTGCTTCTCCCTCAGCCTGTGTCTCTGCCTCTCTGTCTCTCTCTCTATCATAAATAAATAAAAATTAAAAAAAAAAAAGGAACTTGAGAGTTATGCCACTTATTCCCTAATTTTTCTCTAATTCCTCAATACTTTTTTGTATTCTTTCCCAGAATCTTTTTTTCCTTCTCCGCTTTCACTTTTATCTCTTTTTGCAAATAATTGAGAAGTTCGGAAGAAATTCAAAACTATAGTAGGGAGGGAGCTGCCTCCTTTGTGAAAACTTCCTATCTATTTTTGAGGGCTTTTGAAATTGGTAAAACTGAGAGGGAATCTTTAATTTTTTTTTTTTTTTTTTTTTTAGTTATTTATGATAGTCACAGAGAGAGAGAGAGAGAGAGAGAGAGAGAGACATAGGCAGAGGGAGAAGCAGGCTCCATGCACCGGGAGCCCGACATGGGATTCGATCCTGGGTCTCCAGGATCGTGCCCTGGGCCAAAGACAGGCGCTAAACCGCTGCGCCACCCAGGGATCCCAAGAGAGGGAATCTTTAAAACCCCTGTAGGGAAGGATCTCCTGGTTCTTGGCAAATGTGCTGATGAAAGAGAAATCAGTAGTTTTCATGCTTGATGAGACTCTATTGCTTATATTTTTTTGCCCCCCCCATCATTCTCTTTTGGAAATATATTTTTATTTGAATTTTTATTCAGGTTTTTCACAATGTTTTTATCTTTATTTTTTGAATGTGCTTGTGTCCCAAGCCTTGCAGAGCAATTATCCTGAGGGTAGGGACTTTGTTCTTTTTACCTTCTACCCCCAGCACCTGTCAAAATGCCTGGATGTAATGGGGTGGCAGGAAGGATTTGCACAGTAAGAGGGTGGCCCACTTCAGCCCACATCTATCTCTCTTTCCTTGGGTTCCTCTTTGCTCATTACAGCTTTTTGGCAATTCATCTTACATGGACTTCCAATAACCCGTTTTTAGGGTTTGAAATTTTTTGTTGTTGAGCTTTGGGTTTATATCTTCATTACAGTATACATTCTTGAAGGTAGGGAATAAGTTCCAATTTACTGCACATGTAGTCTCATGTTATAGATATGACATCTGCCCATTTTACAGAGAGAGATGTTCAGAGAAACCAGACAACTTGTCCGAAGTCTCAGAGGTATGATTTGGGGTGCAGGGGAAAGAGGCAGTGGTATGATCAGAGTTGAGCTTCAGGAGCCAGTCTAAAAAGTTCTTGACTTGGCTGGACAATTATTTTCTGAATGCCTTCTGTGTATCAGGGTAGTGTTCTAGACACTGGAGATACAGCAAGTGAATATAGCAGATACAACTCTGCCATCCAGTTCTTGAATTCTAGAAGAAGAGGACAGATCATAAATGCCATGTGGACTGGAGACCAGAGGCAGGAGGTGTTATGAGGCTATTCAGGTCCTCTAGGCAAGTGGGAGGGAGAGCTGAGATCTGGGAAGTGGCTGAGGGCATGGAAGTTAGGGTTGCAGTGCTATTGCCAAGACACTAAAAATACCATTTAGTGTCACTTCTACTCATATTTTATTTTATTTATTTTTATTTTTTAAAAGATTTTATTTATTTAATCATGAGAGACACAGAAGGAGAGGCAGAAACACAGACAGAGGGAGAAATAGGCTCCCTGCAGGAGCCAGATGTGGGACTTGATCCCAGGACCCCAGGATCATGCCCTGAGTCAAAGACACATGCCCAACCACTGAGCCACCCAGGTGCCCCTTCTCATATTTTAATACCAAAAAGAGTAAGAGGGATGTAACCCTTCATAGCCTTTGCCAAAAAAAGATAGGCATAGACCTAATGACAAGTGTCTGTGTGTATGTACAATATACATATATGTATATATCTTGTAGGCATATCACTTTGTTTTTTTTCTCATTTCACTGTGGACTGAGAAAAACTAGCTTGGCAGTTGATCAAATGTGGGGAGAAAAGGAGACAAAGGATCAAAAGTCTGTCTGAAATTTCTATCTGGATGGCTCATATGATAAGGATGCCATGTACAGAAAATACAAAACAAACGAACAAAAAGGCAGCCTTGGGATAGAAAGGTGGTTTGAGTGGGGAGATGATGTGTTCTAGGTATGTATAGAAACACAGAGCCATTGTTGCTTGGAATTGTAGAACTGGGCTGCTTGGCTATGACCCAGTTCAGTTTCCTCAATTTATCCATGAAGAGCTCGAGCTCAGAAAGATAGGTGATTTGCTCGAGGTCGTGCCAGTAGTAAGTGCTGGAATTTCTACTGTCCTCATGCTAATTTCCTCGATACACTACTTCCAGCATTGTTTTGAGATGGATAAGTCTTTTATTTCATGGCACTCTTGTAGGAATTCTTTGACTGGTTAACTGTTGGATCCCCCATTACATACAGACACTGGCTTGTGTGCTAGGAAGGCCCAGATGAGTTGAAGTGATCCTTGCCTTTTAGAAATAGAGTCTTGTGTAAATAAATTGTTGCCATCTGCTGCCATAATTGCTCTAATAGGATATGTACAAATGGAGTGGAGACTTAGGAGAAGGAGGGCTCCGGCCTGCTGGGCTGCAGCAGGACAGGCTATACTCAGAGGTAGTTGTGGAGCTTTCACTGAAAGCAGTCTAGGAATTTCCCAGAAAGATGAGCTGAGAGGCATCTTTCTCAGCAAAGGGAGAATGTGAGCAAAGGCCTAGAGGTGAGAGAACTGGCATGTCTGGGAGCTCTATGGTCTTAGGTATTGCTGGATTTAAGCACTGAAGGGTTGCCAGGGAAAGGAGGTGGTGGTGATGGCCCGAAATGTTGCTGGACCAGGCGACGCAGTACCTGCTACATCTTAGGGTAGAATGCCCATTTCATCTTGTAATTAATATGGAGGAATTTTGTGCAGAGGAGCGATGCAATTAGGTGTTCCTATTTGAATAATCTTTGAAAGTAATGTGGAAGATAGATTGAGGTCTAAGGGGTGGGTTTGGAGGTGGGAACGAGACTAGCAAAATAGAAAATAGATAAGGAGGCTGCTGGAATTGTCTGGGTATGAGACACCAAGAGCTTTGCAGTGTTGTGGAATAAACATAGATTATGTTGTAGAATGAGTCAGACCCTGGCACTGGCTTTTCTGCTCTTCCTACCTCTGCGACCCCTGTCATTTGCCTTCTCTGAACCTTTCTCCTCTTCTGTGAGATAGGGGACATTGACATTTGTCTCATATGATTGTGCCTCATACGATTATACATGGAATAAATGAAATCACGTAAGGAGAGAATTAACACAATACCTGATATGTCATGTGCATTTTTAAAATGGTGCTTGTGGTTCTGTTGTGGTTATCAATAGTAAACTTGGAGATTGGGATGGGAATGAAGAGGGTTGGGAGAGGCGTTTAGGAGTAGCGTTGGTGGGCTGAAATGGGATGTTGGGAGTAAGGGAACAGAAGGAACTTTGGAAAACTGCCAGGTTTCTGGCTTGGCGAGGAGTAGATGAGGAAGGGCTATGGGATTTGGTGGGTGGATAAATGTTGGGGGTGAGGAAGACATCGTGAGTGTGGGGAACCAGCAGGCTATCTGCTGGTGGTTGTAGATGTGGGTCAGGAGTCAGTGATTGAAGACCGGTGGCTGGTGTGATGCCCCAGGAGGTTCCATTAATTGAGGGTGGGAGAGCTTTCAGGGCAGAGCTAGGGGAAACACCAGAACTTAAGGGGCAGATGGAGAAAAGAGAGAAAGAAAAGAAGTGCAGAGGGAGGTAGGAGCCCAAACAGGGTGGAGTGTGGGGGTGGGAGACTTGGATGCTAAATCAGGAGAGCATTTCAGGAAGTAGGTGATCAACATGCCAGATGCTTCAGAGAGGTGACGTGCGTCATACAGGAGATGGAAACTTCTTATTGGGCTTGGTTGCTAATCAGAGCTTTAGGGAGGGTGGTGAATGGGGCATTTGGAAAGTGGAGACAGGGAGTATAGACTGCTTGCTGAGGACAGTCAGAAGAGAGGGGAAGGACAGACACACAGGGGCAGTTAGAAGTACATGGGTAGGTTCACAGAAAGGGGATTCCTTTTTGTTTGATCTTGTTTTTTTGCTTCCTCTTTTTTTTTTTTTAAAGATGAGGAAGACTTGGCATGTTTACATGAAGAAGGGAAGGAGCTGGTGGGGAGTTTAAAGAAGGGAAGGGAGTCAAAGACACAGCAAGGTCCAGGAGGAAGCAGGAGGTGAGGGAATGGAGAGCAGTAGAGATGCTGTGAACGGGAGAAACACTTCCCTGAGAACCTACAGAGTAAACGGAGGTGGTGTGGTGTATTTAAGATGTTGTCTTTAAAGGCTCCCGTAGTGGCCGCCCCGGTGGCTCTGCTGGCTAAGCGTCTGCCTTCGGCTCAGGTCATGATACCAGGGTTCTGGGATAGAGCCCCACATCGGGCTCCCTGCTCAGTTTGGAGACTGCTTCTCCATCTCCCTCAGCTCCTCCCCTTGCTTGTGCTCTCTTTCTCTCTTTTGCTAAATAAATAATCTTTAAAAAATATAAAAAGAATAAGCTACCCTGCTTATTACAGCTACCCTGTAGCTACCCTGCTAATTACTGTCGGTGTAGGTCCAGACCTGCACCCCTGTGGCGCAACCTGATAACCTCTTCCCTCTGTTTGCCTCCTAGTCGAGGACCCCGTGTGTCACTTCCAGCCCCCAAGCCTCCTGAGGACCTCAGAGGTGGAAATGAGAGGTTCCGAGGATGCAGCAGCTGGGACAGTGTTACAGCGGCTGATCCAGGAACAACTGCGGTATGGCACCCCAACCGAGAACATGAACCTGCTGGCCATTCAGCACCAGGCCACAGGGAGCGCCGGACCCGCCCACCCCGCAAACAGCTTTTCTTCCACGGAGAACCTCACTCAAGAAGACCCACCAATGGTCTACCAGTCGGCACGCCAGGAGCCGCAGGGTCAGGAGCACCAGGTGGACAATACGGTGATGGAGAAGCAGGGGCGGTCTGCGCAGCCTCAGCAGAACAGTGAGGAGCTGCCCACTTATGAGGAGGCCAAGGCACAGTCCCAGTTCTTCCGGGGACAGCAGCAGCAGCAGCAGCAGCAACAGCCTGGGGCCGTTGGCCACGGTTACTACATGGCCGGGGGCAGCAGTCAGAAGGCCCGGACCGAGGGGAGGCCCACGGTGAACCGTGCCAACAGTGGACAGGCACACAAGGACGAGGCGCTGAAAGAACTCAAGCAGGGCCATGTCCGCTCCCTCAGTGAGAGGATCATGCAGCTGTCCCTGGAGAGGAATGGTGCCAAGCAACACCTCCCTGGCTCAGGGAATGGGAAGGGGTTCAAGGCAGGCGGGGGCCCCTCCCCAGCCCAGCCTGCAGGCAAAGTGCTGGACCCCCGGGGTCCTCCGCCTGAGTACCCCTACAAGACAAAGCAGATCATGTCCCCCGTCAGCAAGACCCAGGAGCACGGACTCTTCTACAGTGACCAGCACCCTGGGATGCTCCACGAGATGGTCAAGCCTTACCCTGCTCCTCAGCCCGCGAGGACCGAAGTGGCCGTCCTGCGGTACCAACCACCCCCCGAGTATGGAGTAACCAGGTGATTATCTGTCAAGCCCACGGTTTAACCTGGCTTTGCGAAATTCAGTGGTTATGTTCTTAGCACTTGTTTTCAAGGCACGTAAGGTTTTTGCCATAGGGTGGTTTTTTTTTTTTTACATGTGATATTTAATAAGTTACTTCGTGGCCCAGATACATAGAGTAAAAGAGATCAGAGATCAATTGAGGGTTTTCTTCAAATGTAAGAGAAGGCAGTTGGGAATTTCTGAGTTGAGGGGAGGAGCCTCGGATGTTGGCAATCCTTGGGAGCCCTGCCTAGTGGCCAGGCAAAGCAGCAATTTTCCTGGCTGGCTCTGTGGAGAGCGTCCAAACTCCTGGAGCATATTATTACCGTGGGGTTTTATGGAGCCTTTCTTCATTGTAGATTTGAAAGGAAAGTGTAGTCTGCATGCTAGAAGAGAGAGGTTAAAGGGGCCATAGAAATCATATAGTCACACCTCTGTACTGAACAGTTGAGACACTAAAGCGCAGAGAGACTCTACATTTCCACAGTCCATAACTCGGAGGCTGCTGGAGCTAAGGCTCAAGTGTCCTGACCCTCAAAATCTCTCCCCTCTGTTGCCCTAATCCTAATCCCTCTTCCGACGATGGGTGGGTTCAGCAACACTTACTGCGTGTCCACTCTGTGCAGTCTTATACCAGGTTCAGAGATAAATAAGGGCACCTGGGTGGCTCAGCAGTTGAGCGTCTGCCTTCGGCTCAGGTCGTGATCCTGGGATCCTGGGATCAAGTCCCACACTGGGCTCCCCAGAAGGAGCTTGCTTCTCCCTCTGCCTGCGTCTCTGCCTCTCTGTGTGTCTCTCATGAATAAATAAATAAAATCTTAGGGGAAAAAAAAAAAAGAAGAAGGCTTCTGCCCTCAAGGACCTTACGGCACTGTCCTGGGAGAACCAGCACCCAAGCCCGTCACTGCTATGTAGTGGGCTCTTTGAAGACAGGACTCAGAGTCCTCAGAACCCGAGAGATAGTATGACTCACAACTGGAGGCACTGGGGACAGCCCCACAGAGGAAGTGACATCCAAGTTGGGTCTCAAAGGACCAGGAAGAGCAGTGGGGAAGGTGTGCGAAGAGATGGGGTAGCAGGATGTGCTGTGCAGAGGGGATGCTGCTGGTTTGGTCTGGGATGTGCCATGGTACCACTGGCAGGTTAGGGTGCAGCCAGCAGTGGTAGAGATGGGCTAGAACGGGGAGCTGAGACCAGCCAGTGAGGGTCTTTGAGAGTCCTACTGTGGAGTTTGGAACTTAGCCATAGGCAATTGTGAAAGCCAGTGTTTTCAAGGAGAGTCTCTGTTGATGTTTATTAGGCTGACTTTGGTGGCAGTGAAGGATGAATCGGAGGAAACAGGACTGGAGGCCATGAAGACCTTCAGGGACAGTTTCAGTAGTCCAGCTAAGAATTGGTGAGGATGCCCTATGCTGGAGGCTGGAGGTCTAGGGGAGTGTCATCATATGCTGTGAGAGGCAGAGAAGGAGAATTGACGGGATTTAGTGACTGATTAGACACAGAAGTTGAAGAATAATACAGCAGTTGGAAATCAGGCTCTCAAGAGAGAAATTGGGTCTGAAGGTACATTTTGGGAGCTACCAGCATTGAGATGTTGCCGAGCTTCTTGGTGAGAGTGTGGAGCATGAGAAGGCAGGTAACTATGTCTTCATTCTCACAAAGGACCTTATTTGTCTGTTTCTAAATCAGATGAGATGAGTTTTCCCTGTGTGACCCCAGCCACTGTGTGCAGGGCATACCTTGGCTGTACATCTTTTGAAAAGGGAGTGATTGGGCCTTGGCAGAGAGAGAGAGAGAGAGAGAGAGAGAGAGAGAGTGTGTGTGTGTGTGTGCTGGCTGACCTGCCCTTTACTTCCCAGCTGCTGACACATTTCCCTGCATATGAGGCAGGGAATGCCAGCTTGGAAGCAGTAGAGCACCTTTTAGACCTCTGAGAGGCTGCAGAACTCATTCTTCCTAAAGGCGGCATAGTCTAACCCACTATATGGGGCCCACGGGGCTCTTGCTTCTTACCTTTTCTAGTTCATTAAGTCACAAGAGACATTTAAACTTCAAAATGATCAGGTTTGAAGAGGGACAAGAATGTCTTTCCATCTCTGGTATTGGTGCCACATTGACTCAAGACACTTGTTTACAGTCACCTATGATGTTTATCGCAGAATCTTATCAGAGTAGGGTTTGTGGTATTTCACATCTTTTCCTGAACATTTGACTCAGCCTGTAGAGCTTGAGAGAAGGGGGCGACATCCCCAAAGGAAGTCTACTTTTTCTCTTTGGCTTTATAGCGATGCATTAAGTGGATCCTTTTGCTTTTTATCATCTGGCTATAGGTGTGATACGAGGTGGGAGACAGGGTAGGGCGGGGAGGGAAGCATCAGGAGGAGACCCACCCAGTTACCTGTGGAAAGTGTCCTTTGTCTCAGTTATGACGTCCAAAGAAGAAGAAATGTATGAGGGATTGGAGCCAATTGCCAGGCTTGGCAGCTGGATTGACATGGCACATCAAAATGGTCCAGAAGACGTAACAGACAGGCCTTTGAGGCTTGGGCCCAGAGCTACAAGGGCCCTTTGTGAGCCTGGCCGTGGCTAGCCAGCGTGGCTCCAGCAGTACAGCTCGGGCTGACAGAGTCAACAAAGTTGTATCCACACCAGTCCTGCTTCAGACATGTCCAGTGTGGTCTGGACTCCAAGGGTTGGATCTGGAACTCAGCAATGTGTCATGTTCAAGTTTTCTTTGACCCAGGAGATGAGCAGGGCTCCTTTTAATTTCATGGATACATTTCCCTCTGCCTAAAGTGTTATCTGTTTGTCATTCATGGCGATGGTGTCGGAAGCTGCAGACTGTTGGATCAATACATCATAGACTCTTGGCCTCCAAGGAATGGCTGCTGAGTGAGATCTCACCTGAGTGAGATCATCACGGAGTCATCTCCTGGCCTTGTGATGCAAAAGTGGGCTCAGTATGTGGTGAGTATTCAGTGGTTTCTCCAACCCTTAACATTGTTCAGATTTCGCTGCTTTTTGTACACAGATGGGAAGGTCCAAAAGATAAGACAGAGCATAGAGCTTATGGTATAAAGGGGAAGAACTTGGAGTTCTTGCCTTCCTTACTGACTCACTATAGCTTATTAATTCACCAGCCCTGACCTGCTAAGGATGGAGATGTGTGGTAGTTTATTGCAAAGCACTTTAGTCTCCTTAGGTGAGAAACCCCACGGAGAGGCTATCAGACAAAGCCTTGTAGACTTGCACCACCTTGGCCCTTGTCATGGGGGAGATGGGGAGGCTGGTGGAGATGGGGAGACCAAGGCCCTGCCAATGTGGCCAGTGGGAGCCTCCAGGGAACATGACCCACCCCTGGATGAAGGCCCTGGTTTTGTTCCTGCTCCAGCTTCTTTTATCCTCAACCCGAAAGTGGTAATGGATAGAAAGGAGGGCAAGGTGAGAATTGTGGTTGTTGTACTGTCACTGTCCTTCCTATATGATATGGGGATCCATGATGTTTGTGGTAAGCTCTCAGACTTTAGACGTAAGCATAGGGAGTTAGATTTTTGAATTTTCCAGGAGCAGAGACAAGAGGGGTAACTGTTTATTAATATTTTATTCCTCTATGAATGTATTAATTTGATTTTTAATGTGTAAACAGATACTTTATAAAGGCATGGAAGGATGGTGTTTGACCCAGCCCTCTATATGGGACTGATAAAAACATCTTACAAGGTGATGTCAAGCAGGAGGTGGTGTGGACTGCCTTGCATGGAGAAACTTGTTCATTTCTCCCCTTGGGCCATGCATCTCCACCACCCTCCTTCCCAGCAGGGCAGGGGGAAAATGTGTGGTGTAACTAATGTCCTAAATCACTCATCTTTTCTTTTCTTTTCTTTTCTTTTCTTTTCTTTTCTTTTCTTTTCTTTTCTTTCTTTTCTTTTCTTTTCTTTTCTTTTCTTTTCTTTTCTTTTCTTTTCTTTTCTTTCTTTTCTTCTCTTCTCTTCTCTTTTCTTTTCTTTTTTTCTTTTCTCTTTTTTTTCTTTCTTTTCTAAGATTATTTATTTATTTATTCATGAGAAACACAGAGAGAGGCAGAGATGTAGGGAGAGAGAGAGGCAGGCTCCCTGTGAAGAGCTCAATGCGGGACTCAATCCCGGAACCCCAGGATCACCATCTGAGCTAAAGGCAGATGCTCAACCACTGAGCCACCCAGGTGTCCTGATCATATTTTTCTTTAAAAATGCACTGTGTGTTTTTCCCCAGAGAAATCTCCAGGGTTGGTTTTCTTTAGGATAGATGACATTATCTGGGAACATGCCAAATGAGGGTACAGCAAAGAGGAAGGGAATAAAAGGGGATCCAGTCAAGGAGTGCATGTGACAAATTAAAGAGAGACAACAACTCTCTTCAAGAAACTCATATCGATCCAACTGTGCAACCAGAGTGCAGTTTAAAACATGAATGAGCCCAAAGATGTGTGTTGGAGAGCAGGGCTTACTTGGTGGGCTTCAGGTTTGGAATGCATCATATTACAAGAAAGAATGCCTAATGGGCCCATCTTCAAATTGGAAATGCCTGGAACAGGAAGAATTGTCAGAGTAAGCGTGTTTCCAAAGTGGTGATTTATACAGTTATGAAAATGAATTGCTGTGTAGGACAAAAGGTAAGCCAAACCCAAGGTTGTTGGATTAAAAACTGTGTGTTGCCCTTAACAAAAACGAGGCTATGGAGCTCTATTTAAATTACACCAGCTAAACATGTGTTTGGAATACCGGCATTAGAGCTCAGGAGTTTCTACAGTTTTTAAGCTGGATCATGGCTGAGTGAGCCAAGTAAAATGCTGCTTATTCTGAGAAACAGCTCTGTAGTATGGGAATTTTAGAAGCCAGGATCAAATTCAGGTTACTGTCTCAGGAAACCTAACACAGTTGCAGCTATAATGAATTAAATGAGTGACCTCTTCAAACAAGAGGCTTGTCTCTCTATT